ATTAAAAAGTTGGCATGACCCTGGGAAAATGCATCACAAAGAAGATGACTGTGTAGAAAAGTGACGTAATGTTTCTTGAAATTCTTAATAAATAGAGCTTTAAAAAGTGCGGAAACTTTTTGAAGACCTCGTAGTAATAATACACCAATTTGCCCTGAACAGAGACACGGGCAGCAGATGGACAGGCCTGCGCTCTCCGAGGCTGCTTCATGCCTGGGAGTTGGAGGAGAAAGCGCCTGCGGGATGGCGCTGATCCGGAGCCCGGTGCCCAGGCAGGATCGGGCCCCTTCCCCGGCCAGCAGGAGCGCTGTGAGGCCTCGGGCAGGAGGTGCTGGCCTTCCCTCACTGCGCAGTCCTCTTACTCAGCCAGAGATGCCAGGCGAGGCTCCGTCCATGGGGCCCTCCCCGCTGAGACCAGCAGCTCCTCCTCACTACTGGGGGCAGCCCCCGATGGGGCGTGGGCCCTCGGCAGGTGCCCATGCAAGCCTACCTTTGAGCCCAGTCCCGAGGCCAGGGGCCTCTAGAGGCAAAGCCCCAGGGTACCCGTGATCTGCGGCCACGGGATTGTGCCACCGAGGTACCCGGTGTGGACCAGGCGTGTGGGCCTCATCCTCGGAGGAAGGAGCTCCTGAGAAGGCTGGGACCCTGCAAGGCCACTGGCAGGCATCCAGGGAGGATCCCGCAGGCCAGCGCCCCTGCCTCTGGTGAAGGATGCATCAGCACCCTCCGCAGAGCCAGGAAATGGCGAGCACGGGGCGTGTCCTTTCCCCGCCCCATCTGGGGGCAAGTGCGGCTCCTGCCTTTCCGCACAGACGCCAGGGATGCGCTGCCTTCCACCCAACAGTGGCCTGTGGCAGGCGCATGCTCCAGGCCAAGCCACCGACAAGAAGAGGGATGTTGCGATCAGGGAGGGGAAGGCGACACTGGGCACTGGGGGCCGGGAAGGCGAGATGCATGTGGGAGAAGCAGGCGAGGTTCCTTCCAGGATTCATGGCTACAGTTGGGATACCTCCTGCGGAGAAAGGGGCAGCTTCCATCCGACAGAACCTGCCTACTTACCCACAAAGGTGTCTTCTAGCTGCCTTGAGGCCACCA